CTTCTATCTACCTCTTCAACATATTGTCATGCTAATCAGAATATATTATGCAGCCAAAACAGACTTTTCTCCTGAACACCTTTCCTTCTCTCAGAGGACGTAACGCATGTGATATATAAAGTTCATGGACCTTGACAAGGTGGATTTCGTGACTATTTAAGAGACAGATAATTAAATTAATATTGAATGTTTTGTATAAGAATCTGTTACAGCTTACTACAGACTATTCACTTTTTATTCTTAATATTGAATATCACATTTTATTTTAATGAATCTTTCTTTAAAAAGAAGGAAGATAAATGAATAGTTTCAGAAAACACTTGAGATTTAACCAGTGAGTGCATCTTTCTTCATGTAAACTTTTTGTCAGAAAAATAAGCAAAATATTTACCAAGCTTATGTATTAACCTTACCAGTCTGACTTCCCTTATATCAAGTTACCGTGAGTGGAACATTTTCGGGAGTGATGTAAAGATAGTAACTGTGAATAACATAATTTCGACAATGTAGTATTTAAGGGGAGTCAGGCTAATAACGGTGACAGGGAAGTAGTTAAGGGGAGTCAAGCTAATAACGGTGACAGGGAAGTAGTTAAGGGGAGTCAGGCTAATAACGGTGACAGAGAAGTAGTTAAGGAGAGTCAGGCTAATAACGGTGATAGGGAAGTAGTTAAGGAGAGTCAGGCTAATAACGGTGACAAGGAAGTAGTTAAGGAGAGTCAAGCTAATAACGGTGACAGGGAAGTAGTTAAGGGGAGTCAGGCTAATAACGGTGACAGGGAAGTAGTTAAGGAGAGTCAAGCTAATAACGATAACAGGGCAGTATTTAAGAGGATCCAGGCTGGTGAGAGCGAAAGGGTAGAGTTTAACACTATAAGACCCATAATAATGTCTCTGAAATCAGTTCTAAAAATGTTCGAACAGCCATAAGTTTTCTATACTAATAAGTTTAAAGTATAAAGATGTTATGTTTCTGGACATTACCATTCCTTACTAAGCCGCAGTCCAGCCTTCTGTAGTTTCGCTTTTGCAACCATAGTGCATTGTAAAAAACATATTCCTATTATACGTCAACAATCATGCTAAATAATGTATGATACATCGTATACAGATGCGGGCTATATATATATATATATGTTTCATGAGTCCGTCAACAATCATGCTAAATAATGTATGATACATCGTATACAGATGCGGGCTATATATATATATGTTTCATGAGTCCGTCAACAATCATGCTAAATAATGTATGATACATCGTATACAGATGCGGGCTGTATATATATATATATGTTTCATGAGTCCGTCAACAATCATGCTAAATAATGTATGATACATCGTATACATATGTTTCATGATGTTTCACTGTTTTCAGTTCACCAAGAGTGATATTTTTTTCAAAAAAGTCTTCTTTAGTAAATGAGTTTTTGAAGTTTTTCAGACAGTTATAAAGTATATAATAGTTAAAATTTTACGCGTTAGTAAAAACATGATTTTTATAAAAACAACTTTAAAATTAAACAATTATGTGCAGAAACGAATCCAAAGAAACTAAGTTTATTTTTTGACATGTGCGACTATCTTACACAAAACTACAATATATAATAAACTAGTTTTCTTTAGAACCTTTTGTTAGCATTTTGTTTATCTCACTATAAGATGTAATAATTAGCTATTCAATAGTTTCACATAATTACTAGATTTCTGCCTAATATGTAAGTTAGAAATTTTAATGAAAGTCTGCCTTGTGATTGCCTATATTTTTGGATTTTTTTATTTTCACCCTGTTTTATACATGATTTTGAATTTAATACTATGTCTTTCTTAATATGGTGCCAGCGACATCGCGATAAACAAGCTGAAAAAGCAGAACAAACCCGTAAAATATTGTTCCAATGCTTATTATATACCTGTATCCACGTTAGAATAGTTTCTTTTTATCATTATGCAAATTTGTAAAGTCCCATTTCACTTCAAAAGCTTTGTGAAAACGTCTATGAGGACTATGTTACATAAAGACTTCTCTAGGAGTTTGATCGTGAATTCCACATGACTTTTCGGGCTCTATGTTGAATACTTCATCCCGAAACGTCGTCTCGAAATCAAGAAAACCGGTAGAAGTCCATATGAAACTCAATATTGAACACATTGCGTAAACACAAACACAAATACATGTGTTTTTGCGTGTGTGTGTGTAACTGTATTTAATTTTGTTGTTATATGAGCCATGTTGTTTGTCGCAGATTAGATAACCTGTTTAACCATGTCCGAAGAGTATCAAAATTAACGTTGTATTTAATGTTTAATTCGTGCTATGGATAGTAAGTACAATAAGACTGATTGGTTTAAAATGTCATTATATCTAACAGCTCACTAATTTTAAACCTACGTGGATATTGTTTATAACCTTGAGGTATTATTGAGTCAAGTGAAAATACATATATTTTCGATTTTTGCCGTCGTTAACCAATCATCGTTCGCGCTTGTTGACAGAAGAACGCCATTGTCAAAGCACGTGATATTGCTGACCCCGCCTTGCAAGTTTTGCGAGTACTGTTATATGTAAAGGTACGCCCATTAATATATGGTGACCATTCAGTTAGCGGACAGAAACATAGGAGCCAATGTTTTATTTAAAGTATCAGTAGAGCCAATAAAGACCTTTATGATTACATACAGATAATACGATTTGAAAACGTTAACCTTTCTTGTAGACCACGAGGGTGGCACAAACGCTTCTGAATTTTGTGCTTCCTAACAATTTGCAAGAGAGCAAGAGATCGTGGCCTGCTTTATCTTCACCACTCGAGGACAAATCTAATTAAAAACAGATTGGAAAATTCCAACAAACGCAGCTGCCAGTGAGGAATAGTCTCGGTAATATACGGCATAAAATACGACAGTTGGTAAGTTTCAATATTGAAATTTAAAGTGTTTTAAACATTTTTCAAAAACAAGTTACATTTCAGTACACATAAATGGTTAAAATTGCGTCAAAAATTAGGTATAGTCTCAAGTAAAATTTTTTGTTGCATGTTTAAACTTTTAGTTTCTTCGTGAGTTCTGTCATTATGTCTTTAAAAAAAAACTCTAGTAAAAATAATGGTATTATTATTTTTCTTATCTGATAAATATTAAGTTATAACTGTAGTGAAACAATACCTATTCAAAATAAGAATTGCGATATGCATTAGAGGCAAGCAGGGAGAAGCTATGAAATATTCGGTATACGAATTGTAAAACTAAATCATAATACAAACAGCCCGGCAGGTTACCATATGTAGTAATGAGCATGTTGTGTTAAAGAAAAAACGAGTTTATTAACCCGCAAACCACATGTTCTAGGTTAAGTAAGTTATAATCTGATCGTAATTCTAAATATGAAAGCTAAAGGTTACTAAGTAAAGGACTTTGTCAATGAGCAACATATGTTGATATATATAGAGAAAGGATTAGGTACGCTGTGTGAAAACGATTTTAAGTAGCAAACCAGTATGTCACGTGATAATCATAGCTAATATAAAGTCGCGGTAGTACGGTACTAATCAGAACTACAGTATGGTATTGCTTGGCGTTTTCTAGATGGTGTGATTCCACCCAGAATTGATCGATTTTGGGAAGGGTGTGTAACAGCTCTTTCGGGAGTAAATTTATCATACAGTCAGATCATAAATATGAATTTATATCAGACAGCTATAATTTCCAAAATGGTGATATCCCAGGTACTTAATGGTTTTGGAAAACAAAGGAATACGGATCAAATTGGGGCACCAGGAACATTCAGAAAGTGATCTGTATAAAGTCGTAACCCAACCGTGATAAGCAAAGGACGGCTTTTTTGTAACAGGTGAGAATCGACAAATACAAGGTCTTGTAACAGTACACTACATACTCAAGATGAATAATGTAAGTCACGAGTACACAAGTTGCTTCCACCAAGACACCCATTCAACTGTTCCACACCTCAAACAGCTGGAAAATGAAATGGGTATTCATGTTATTCTATACGGGTACATATCAGTCAAGGTTTCGACGAAAGGTTTTCTTTGCGATCGTACTGTTGAAAAGGGTGATGAGAAACCATCGTCCTTGTAAACTAGATGGATTATGTAAAGCAAGAATGGGGAATGATGTGCTTTGTACTTGACAGCCTAACGACGGAGCTTTTTTGCAGGGCTATTGCTAAGAAGCACGGTCATCAGATAGAGCACGACCGGTTGTGGCGACATAGACTGTAAGATATGGTGATGCTTCAAAATCATTGTAATATAACGTATTTAATCTCTAGATGGAGGTAGGATGCACACACACACACACATATATATATATATATGACTTATACTAGATGTGCTTCCACAGAGCCCCCGAAAGTGTTTTGTTTCAAGAAGAGTAAGTAAAACCAAAATTAAGAGTAACAAATAATTTTATTTCTTGCTTTTGAAATGCATATGTCATGCTGTGTTGTAGCCTACCGAGTACATAATTCTTCTCGTGATTCATAGCATGCGCACATTTTACTGACGTCATTAAAAACAAATCTAAACGTTAAACGTTCCTTATGTGACCTCATTTTAGTGTCTACTGATTGACTGGCAGACAACACACTACTATATAGTGGTGCGAATGGTTAAAACAGGTGACTCTTATAAGCGGCCTATGGCCCCTTTCGGGGAAATAACCATATTAGCATTAAACATTTGGTTAATGCTTCCTTACAATCACAGATTTAGGCATATAAATTTAGATATGGCAATAGATATGACATCTAAGATAAATAGTGGAACTTGTAATTACGCAAATAAAACTGAAATTATAACCTGCTTCATTATCATACATTCAATGGGACATTATTTGTATATGGCACACTTTTGTACATTATCATACATTCAATGGGACAGTATTTGTATATGGCACACTTTTGTACTAAATTTAAAAACAACGAATAGTAAGCGCAATTATAGAAAACATACAGGTTTTGATTTTACCTTTAACTGTGTTCTTCAGAACTGAGGAAGGCAGACAGTGGTATTGTTGATAAACATTGAATGTTTTCAGCAGTAAGTATCATTGTGGCTACAACTCGTTGTTTGTAAATTTGCTACTAGAATAACATAATATGCCTCCCTATACAAAAGTACACACTGTTAATTAATAATAATCTGATATACAAGGTGTTTATAATTTCTTGAACCACTTTACTAACTCAGTAGAATGAGAGTACATAAGATAAACAAATGTGGCTTGCGATGAGGCTAACACTTCAGGTAGTCCATAAATAGTGGCGACATCAACATGAGTACCGCTTGTGGCTCGAAGGATGTCTAGGCGATTATCGATCTCCGCTCATATACTGACAGTATCTCCAGAATAATTGTCTCATTTGTGTTGGTTATTCAGCCACGTTATCTTATCATGTCTGGGACTTTCGTCTTATAGATAATGACTTCCATATATTCAGATCTAAACTAGTAGGAAATATTTTTGAAATCAGTCCACCACGTCCTTGTGTTATTCAATTATGAAAGCGGTTCAATAATTTATGAACATTCTGTATTTTCAAAGAATTGTGTAATTGGTACTAGTAGGTTATCACAGACTGTATGGATTTTTATGAGATTTCACACGAAATGAATGTTTGGTGTGTTTGTTATGAATTTCGCGCAAAGCTACACGAGGGCTATCTGCGCTAGCCGTCCCTAACTTAGCAGTGTAAGACTAGAGGGAAGGCAGCTAGTCATCACCACCAACTCTTGGGCTACTCTTTTACCAACGAATAGTGGGATTGAGCGTCAAATTATAACGGCTGAAAGGGCGAGCATGTTTGGTGTGACGGAGATTCGAACCGCGACCCGCAGATTGCGAGTCGAGCGCCCTAACCACCTGGCCATGCCGGGCCAATGCACACACGCGAAACGAATGAGAAGCACTGAAGAGTTTTGAAACACATTGTGCAAATTAATTAATAATTGTAAATACATAGTGCATAATATTTTACTTTATTCTCTATCTATACAGAGCATACGGTCTCAAGTGGCTCAGCAGTAGAGTTGTGAGCAGATATAGCACAGGTAGACCATTCTTACCTTTGTGCTTAACAACAAATAAATTATCACAATATTAACTGTCTAATAATTATAAAGCTGAATTTGTATGTATAAATAAACCTTGTCATATTCTTTTTTATTGTTACTCCAAAATTTTACGAAACTCATTTAACTTATCGTGCATATGAGGATCCTGTCACTTCTATAAATTTCTCTGAAATTCGGGTAAGCTGTACTACCAAAACGTTATTTGATTGACAGTCTCATCAGTACCTTAATTAATATCAGAAGAACACCCCAGTTGAATACAGAATATGTTCTTCATCAACAGAAAACAAGTGCTTGTTAGGGAGGTTTAATAGAAAACGTATATTTCTAATATCGATACAGTTCGTTTTACATATCGCTCATGTCACTATCTTCTTATACTGAAAAAACACGGCTTCCATGAAAACTACATTCATAAAAAAAACACTTAAATTTGTTGCCTTTCCAACAGCTATTGTTTTACAAAATACGTTATTCAGATCATAAATAGGAATTCCAATTGATACTATTATATTGCACAATTAACAAATCATTGTATACGTATATTGAAATTTTATATACGTACAGCATTTTGGGATCTAGGACAAGGTTTTTGTTTGCCCCCTCCACCCCCAGATATTTCATTTTACATTTTTAACCGAGCTCTCTTCTCCAGCGCTATCCACAATAAAAACAAGGAGTTGAATAAAATTTACCCCATAAAGAAGGAAAACAAAGAGTCCATATTTTCGTGCTAGTGATATAAGTTCCCGGGTATACATCATAAACGTTATGTTGAAAAACGACACTATACATTTTCAATATAAGTACATTATGATAATATTTGATATGTCTCAATATAACTTAAATTATAGCTATCATGGTCGAGTGAAACAATCTGTGTACGTTATTCACAATGGTAATACGATATATTGATATATGAATTCGCCTGCAACATATCATAGAGATCCGGTAAAGTGGTTACAAAGTTTTATTAAAATTGTGGTAGGTGTGCAATAAACATGCCGTAACATACTTAAAAGCAACAAAAAACATTGTGACAATTTAAAAACTGCTGAGTTAGTCAGTTGTACATTAGTACATTTCATCAACGGAACAAAAACAACCATACGTCCCTAATGAACCCTCTCAGATGTACTACCCTCACTTTCGTAAATTTCGCGGAGGTTTTCACGAAAATACCTTCCTTTTTTCTCTTTCTTCTTCTACCTTGGAGTTGTTCAATAAAACACTATTTTCTTAGTGGCAATCAGAACGTGGATGCATAACCCAAAAAAGTGTGTATTGCACACTGACATGCCTAGGCTGTTGGGCTTTATAAACGTGAGCACGGGACACGTTGGCATAGGCCAAGTAGCCAGAGTTGTCCGGGTCCACTTGAAAAAAGCTTTTCTTGCGTTATTTTTTGCACTCCTAAACATTTCTTTCATATTTACTGTGTTCATACACAAAGTACATAAAAATCCAACTAAATTCGGGTTTATTGCTATTTCATTTAAACTGTTATATAAATAATTGAATTTATTAATAAGTACATTTATAGATAATGATCGTAACCTTTATGATCTATGGACATTACATAATAATGAGACTAACTGAACAGTGGAATTTGACCGTCACTCTTACAGAACACCAATGGCTTCAAAGTGCGGATAATGTTTTGTAGCTACGGGACATGAAACATGAACTTTCGGATACACAGTCTGGACACTGTAACTACTAGATCATGCCTGACCCAGTAATGATTCTGTTGTTGTAAATATATGACCAGTTTATCAAAACGTCAAGACTGTATACGTTCCAAGTCTATGTAT